TCGGAATCTAGCTCACTGTAGGCTCGGACAACGAGCTAGCCACTGATAAGAGCTTCATTTTTGTTTTGTTTTTTTGAACTCTTGTGGTTTTTGTTCTATTTTTTTGAACTCGTGGTTTTTGTTCTGTTTTTTCAAACTCGTGGTTTTTGTTCTGTTTTTTCGAACTCGTGGTTTTTGTTCTGTTTTTTCGAACTCTTGTGGTTAATTCTTAGTCCTGATTTTGCTACTTTTTTTTGTCTTGATTGAACTAGAATTTTTTGTTCTCTTTAAACCAGTTCTCGCTGGTTTCTGTGCTGATTTCGTCGGCATTTTGGGTTCTGGTTTGCTACGTATCAAGTCTCCGATGGTTCAGTACTGTTTCTTTTTGATTTATTCGCATCCATGTGATTTGACTTGGCTTGGTGAAATTCGAATATGTATTTGAGGTTTTTTTTTAGATTGTGATTTAGTTTCTCTTTGTTGCATTTTAGTGGTGTCAGAGGAGTCATCTAGGTTTGAGAAAAACCCAGATTTGGGTTTGATTTGGAGAGGAAGAAGAAGTGTTAAGAGAGAGAAAGTGAAAGAGGAAGAAGAGATGACATGGATGGAAAAAAAATTCATTATTTTTAAATTAAATAAAATGCCAACTCATAAAAAAAAGGTGCCATGTCATTAGTTAAGAAAAAAAAATTGATTTGCTGGCAAGTTAATGTGCCACTTGTCCATTTAACTGACGGAATGACAGTTTTGGTACCAAAAATGAAAGTTTAAGGATAATTTTGATACTTTTTAAAATTAAAAGATGATTTTGGTGTCAAAGTGAAAAGTTGAGGGACCAAAATGTTACTTAAACCTTAAAAATATAGTAAAAATGATTTTCCTATTTCAGCGCCCAAGCTGGAAGAGAAGACTTCCAGACATGGTCAGCTTAGTCTGAGTCTCCTTGTCGGAGCGAGTAGTGCTGAGGAAGAAAATGATGGATTCGAAGGTAGAGACCATCTCCAGACTTGCCCAGTGGAGGATCGACAACTTTAGCCCTGGCTCCTACCGGAAATCCGACCCCTTCAAGGTCGGTATCTGGAACTGGTACTCTTTTTCTTTTCTCTCCCTATATCCCTTGATCTCTTCCGTGAATGCGCAATTCCTTGCTGATTCTTCATCCTGAATCATTAGGCATTTGTCTGTAGAGAAGAATCGATACCTCTACGTCCGTTTGTTTCCAGAAACTTCCAAGGTGTCTAAGGAGAATCCCCCTATAGCCGTATTCGTTCTTCGTGTCTC